CTATATCTATATCTATATCTATATCTATATCTAGTTGTTGTTAGGTGCTGTCAAGTCGTAGAAGACTCATAGCAACCCTATGAATGAAAGGCCTGAGCACTGTTCATAGAGTTTCCGGAGGCAAGCCATTTCGGAAGTGGATTCCACTCCTGCTTCTAAGTTTGTTTTAATCAGGAAGCTCCACCAAACACTGTCCAGCATGGGTAACCATTACCACATTTGGCACATCAGTGTCACAGTGTTCAGCATCACAGCAACCACGAGTTACCTCTGTACAGCAATGCACAGACCAGTGCTATACCACCTAGAAGAATGTTTGACAGAAAAAACAGTTTGAACCAGGCCTAAGGGCCGCAGATTAAAATCACCCACCTTGGGCTTGGTAGCATACTTTCTGTCTACTAGGCCAACGTAGCTCTCTCTATGTTGTCATTATTATTGTTGTTAGGTGCCGTTGAGTCACAGAAAACTCATAGAGACCCTATGAACGAAAGGCCTGAGCACTATTCCTACAGTTTCCAAAGGCAAGCCATTTTAGAAGTGGATGCCACTCCTGATTCCAAGCTTGTTTTAATCAGGAATCTTCACCAAACACTGTCCACAATGGGTAACCATTATCACATTTGGCACATCAGTGTCACAGTGTTTAGCATCATATATGGGATATATTAATAATAGACTATATGAGATACAGAAGTGGCACAGAGAGCAGTGTTTCTATTTATTAAAAAGAGGGTGGCCTGTAGTAAGAAGCTGTGCTACCCTCTCAAAGGTTGGCATGCTTTGAATCCACCAGCTGCTTCAAGGGAGGATGGGTCATCTCCTCCTACATGATCTACAGCCTCTGAAAACCCACTGGAGGTTGGTGGGCACACAACATTCCAACCAGAGAGAAACACAATTCTAGGGAGATGAGAAAGCATGGAGCGTTCATGGAGATGCAAGAGAGCAGACGTCAGAGACGGAAGGATGTTTCCTGAGTTGCATTTTAGAAAGACCATTAGGAGGGTGAGTGGAAGGTGAATTCACTGTGAAAAGGCAGCAGTCAGAGTTATTATATATGATGTTAATTAATATAGTAATTAATACAGTAATATATGAACATCATAAATAATGATTAAATCAGAGGCATTAAATCAAATCAAAGGTGTTAAAGTAAAGAATGAAGAAATGTTTAAGAGAGATTTAGGAATTTAAGACTTAGGATTTCGAGAGATTTTTTAAAATTTTCCTTTTCTTAGGATTTCCAGAGATCTTGATAGCCTTTTTGCTATTCTTAGATGCCATCAAGTTGAGTACAACTCATAATGACCCTATGAACAACAGATCTGACTCTTGTCCTGTCTTGTGCCATCCCCATGGTCACTGATACCTGAGCTCATTGCTGTAGTTACTGTGTCAATCCACTTGGTTGAGGGTCTTCCTCTCTTTTACCAACCCTTCCAACCTCTCCCTAAGTGGACAGGTTTCAACCTTGAGGGAGGGCTTAGCTGAGTAAGAGGAAATTATTTTATAAGTGAGAATGAAGAAGTAGAAAAAGGAGGAGGAAGAGGAGGAGGAGGAGGAGGAAGATGAAGAAAGAAGAAAGCAAAACCCAAAACTATTTAAAATAGATATTTGGAACAAGAGTGCACAGAAAGTACCCCTGAATAAAATGGGGTGTGGAGTTGCAGTTAAATTTTTGTTTAGTTTCTAGCTTAAGGGTAATAAACATTTTCCTCTCCAAATTAAGGATATAATACCAATGAAATATCCAATGGTATTTGTTTGAAAGTAAGAAATAAAGCACAATAAACAATGCCCTGTCTTTGAGTAGACTCTGATTTACCAGAAAAAGAATTGCTTGATAGGGTTTCTGAGGCAGACTGCTGCATCTTTAGCCTGTGGATTTGAGCTAATGACCCTTTGATTAGCAACTGAACACTTAACCACTGTGCTATTAGGTCTCCTGATGTTGACAGTATAATTATTTAAGTACCTCCCCGTCTCCTGGATTTTATCCTTTGAGTCCTGTGAAGGCAAGCTTTTAGAGTAATACCATAGAATTATGTTAATGGAATAAGGAATACATGAACAGACTGGAAGGCAGTGCCTGACGGTGGTGACCCATATACATGAACAAAGGGATAATTGCCAGGCCAGGATTGCCCTGCTCAAAGCAGAGAAGGAAACACAAATAGTAGTCTGTAATATCATCAACAGATTGGTGGTTCAAATTCATTAGCCAATCCTCAGGAGTCAAACGGCCAGGCTCCTCCAGTAAAGACTTACAGTTGGGGGTTTGCTCAGTCACACCAGTCTCAACAGGAGTGAGTAGATTCTGTCCAAGGAACTTGGTTTACACTCTCCTTCCCTCCCTCCCTCAATTACAGGTAATTCAGCAGCAGTGCAAACCCACTGAACGCACAGACTTGTCCCTGATGTCTTGGGAACAAAAGGTCAGACCCCAGCTGAAACCGGTCTTCGTTATGACCATGGTGGACAGTCCTGAATCCAAGAAGGAACAATGGTTCAGGTGAGGTGCTGGCTGTTTGCTATTCTCCTGTTCTTTTGTACTCTCCACCCTCTATCTCTTTTCAGTACTATGGACCACTGCTTTTTGATTGTGTGTTATGTGTACAACTGCAAAGCAGTGAGCTACAGCTTCCTTGGGTGACTGACTGCGTTCACACTCTAAGGAGAGAAAAACTGTAATGCGAGATGGGATGTATTCGAGGTCATGAAGAGCCAGGATTTAGCAACAGTCTATTAGGAGAGAGAGAGACTGTCTTTGAAACTGGATTATTGGAGGGGCCTCTGTTTAGTTGGGAGGGGAGAGGGGAGATTCTGAAGTTCTCCAGAGGTTTTACAATGTGAAGCTCCATCTTTTGTTACCTACCAATATCCCCACTTTGTATCAACACATTCTAGTCATTGTCCCTTCTTCTTCCCCATAATTTCTGAGAATGTAGCTTACTTCCAAGGGACTGGTTCTACTAAGCCTCGGCTGTTGTTAGGTGCCACTGAGTTGAGTACAGCTCATAGTAACCCTATAAACAGCCAACCTGAGCCTTGCCCTGTCCTGTGCCATCCTTATCCTCTGACACACTAGAGCCCATTGCTGACGTCACAGTTTCAATCTATCTCATTAGGGGTCTTCCTCTCCTTAGCTGACCTTCTATCTTTCCAAGCCTGGTGTCCCTTTCCAAGGAAAAGCCTTGACTAGCTATATGTCCAAAGTACGAAAGTTAAAGCTTTGCCATCTTTGCATCCAAGGAGCACTCTGGCTGTACTTTTCCTAAGATGTATATTGGTTTGGCTTTTTTTTCTTTCAACCCGTGGGGTTTTCAGTACTCTTCTCTAACACTACAACTCAAAGGCACCAATTCTCCTCCTATCATCCTTATTCATTTTCCAGCTTTCTGATGGAGATACTAAATGAATTTTCTTTGTTAAGGTTTTCCACTGACAATGATTTCAAGAGTAAAGGGAATTATTCAAAGACCTGTGCCCTGAGGAAACAGAAAACAATGTACCCTCAGCTCAACTTTTCTCCCAACTGTAAAAGAGATCCAGAGAAAGAAGGTAACTTCTTTCTTTCAAAAAACAATGGTTCATTGGATTGAGATATTGTTTTTGTTGTATTCGCCTGGCAGTGGAACCTGTGGGGACTGCAAATATAGGTGAATCAGTGTTTCTCCTCGTGGGTCTACAGAGTAGTTTTCTTGGGGCGTAGAAGCTAAGAACTCAAGGTTCAAGGTTCAAGTAGTGCTAGACTTTGGACTTCATGTATACCTATTTATCCCAAGAAAGTTCTAGTACAGTAATACTCAACACCACCACCTACTACTTTAATAATCAGTGACTTATCAGTATATTATTTGCCTTGATGCAACACTCAGAATCAACAATTTAAAAAATACTACATAACATGGGAGAGGCTGGAGTGAAAGAACTCAGTCTCATAAGGGCAAATACTGCATAAGACTGCTGTTGTAAAAAGAGCAGGATAACTAATAACATGTATATAAAAGTCCAAAAGGGCAAGGGGAGAGATAGAAGGAGCCTGAGGAAGGGAAGGGGAAAATCACAAGGTGACAGAGTTTGGTGAGCTGAGGGAGGGGGTGAAGGAATTAGGAAAGATCCAGTGGGGATCTGAAAAGATGGAGTAATAGTAGGCATAGATCAATGGCTATTCATTTATAAAACACAGTGGTTGCGAATAATTGTATGAAACACAATGTGAATGAAGGAATGTGTAAAACAATGCATATGCATGAAACACAATGTATATGAATTTTGTATGCAAAGCAATATAAAATAAAAATTTATATGCTAATGATATGTATGTTGTTGTTGATTGCCTTCAAGTAGAGTACAACTTATAACGACCCTATGAACAAAAGGCCTGAAGCCCCTTGACAACTATTGACATTTATCAAAGTTCATAGAGCTTCCAGAGGCAAGTTGTTTAGGGAGCAGATGCCACTCCTGCTTCCAAACCTGTCATAGAATGTTATTGGTTGAGTCTTCTGCGATGTATAGCGGCCCTATGTACAGTAGCTCGGAACCCTTCCCTGTCCTGAGCTAGTCTCACTAATTCTGACTCTCCAACTCCCATCACCCCAGTTACTGTATCAATCCATCTCATCTGGGGTCTCCCTCTCCTGCACTGTCTGTCTGTCCATCCTTCTGAGCATGATGTCCTTCTCCACGGACCGATCTCTTCTGGCCACGTGCCCAAAGTAAGTGAGGTGGATCTTCAAAATCCTAGCCTCCAAGGAGAGACTTGGTGTCACCCTCTCCAAGACTGACCTATTTGTTTTCTTGGCAGTCCATGGTGTGTTTAAGACTCTTCTCCAGCACCACAACTTGAAGGTATCTATTCTTCTGTCATCCTTAGTCATTGTCCAGCTCTCTGAAGTGTAACAAGTACTTGAGAAGACCATGGGCTGGATTAGTTGCACCTTTGTCTCTAGACTGACATTGTTGCTCTTCAGCATTCTAGAGAGGTTCATGACAGATTTCCCCAATGCAGCTTGTCTTTTGATTTCCTGACTGCTGGTGTTAAGAGTGTTGATTGTGGATCTGAACAAGCTGTAATTGCTAACAACCTCAATCTCGTCTCTATCTAATATGGTGCTGCCAATTGGCCTAGTGGTGAGAATCTTTGTCTTCTTTTTTTTATTTTTTAAAAATTAATTTTAATGAATGTTTACAGAGATTTTGGATTTCCATACATTCATTGTTGCATTTTTCTCCCTGCCCACCCCTCCCCCCAGTTTGCTCTTCTCTTTGAAAAGTACAAGAAAAATTATTTCATTGTTATAGAATCTCGCCTCTAGTACACTCCACTATGCATCCTTCATTCTGGACTCTTGTCATAACCATAGTACCCAATCATATATCACTTTTAAACAGTTCTCTCCCTCATCTGTTTCAATGCAGTTTACATAATTTATCTAATTTTTCTCAGTCTCATTCCAACCCTGATGTCAGTCCCTTTCTACAATAGTGGCATCATGTAGCACCTGCCCTTTTTTGACTTGAGATATATCATTCAGCATAATGTCCTCCAAGGTCACCCATTTTGAATAATATTGCATGAGTTCTTTGTTTTTCTATGCAGCGTAGTATTCCATTGTGTGAATATACCACAGCTTCTCCATCCATTCGTTTGTTGATGGGCACTTCGGTTGTTCCCAACTCTTTGCTATTGTGAACAAAGCCACAGTAAACATGGGTGTGCATACATCTGCTTGGGTGGCAATTTTGGATTCTTTAGGGTATATTCCCAGTAATGGAATTGGTGGGTCAAATGGTATCTCTATTTGCAACTTTTTGAGAATGCCATATAGCCCTCCATAGCGGTTGCACCATTTTACACTCCCACCAACAGTGAATGAGAGTTCCAGTTTCTCCAGCATTTGTTGCTTGCTGCTCTGTTAAATTTTGCTAAATTTTGCTATTCTTACTGGGGTGAGATGATATAATTGTTTTGGAGAATCTTTGTCTTCTTGATGTTGAGTTTCAATCCAGATTGTAGATTACAGTCCTTGACCTTTTGCAGCCAAGTGCTTCAGATCCTCCTCAGATTCAGCAAGCAAGGTGGTGTCATCTGCAAATCGTGGGTTGTTATTGAGTCTTCCTCCAATCCTGATACCACACTCCTGCTCATAAAGCCCTGCTTCCTGAATGATCTGTTCTGCATACAGATTGAAGAGGTATGGGAGCAGGATGTATCCCTGATACACCCCTTTCCTGATTTTGAACCATGCAGTGTTTCCTTGCTCTGTTCTGAGGGTTCTGAGGACTGCTTCTTGGTCCAAGTATAGGTTTCGTATTGCTCTGAGATTCCCGTTTTCCTCAAGGTTAGCCTCAATTGATTGTGATCCACACAGTCAAATGCCGTTGCATAGTTAATGATACACAGATAGACATTCTTCTGGTGAGTCTGCTTTCTGCCAAGATCCATCAGACATTGGCAGTAATGTCCCTAGTGCCACAACCTCTTCTAAACCCAGCCTGTATTTCTGGTAGTTCTCCAAAACCTAGCCAGCATTTTTTGCTTGCTGCTCTGTTAAATTTCGCTATTCTTACTGGGGTGAGATGATATCTCATAGTTGTTTTGGAGAATCTTTGTCTTCTTGATGTTGAGCTTCAATCCAGATTGTAGATTACAGACCTTGACCTTTTGCAGCAAGTGCTTCAGATCCTCCTCAGATTTATTCAAGTCTTTTCTGGATACTCTTCAGCAGGATTTTGATCTATTTATCCCACGAATTACAAAAATTCACACAGGTATATCTTGGGAAAAAGTGCAGTCAGCGTGCTCCTTAGAGACAAGGATGGCCAAACTTCATCTCTTGTGTTCTGGGCATGTAGCTAGGAGAAGCTATTCCTTAGAAAGGGATATCATGCTTGGAAAGGTAGAGGGTCAGCAAAGAGAAGACCTTCAACAAGGGGGATTAACACAGTGACCATAGCAATAGGCCAGGTGTGTCAGGGATAAGGATGGCTCAGGATAGGACTGGCTTCAGAGCTCTTGTTTGTAGACTTCGCTCGAAGACACCTAATAATACCAACAATGGTATACTTTCCTGAAACATTTTAGACTCATAATAATAGTTAAATTTTTTTTGTGTGTGTGGTTTTTTTAATTACATTTTATTAATTTTAATGAACATTTACAGAGATTTTGGGTTTTCATTCATTCATTGTTGCAGTATTTTCTCTACCCTCCTCCCCAGTTCGTTCTTTTTTCTCCCCCCCTTGAAAGTCTCTTTTAATTGTCCAATTGCCACAGTGCTTGTCAAAGCCAGTTCCTTTGTCAGTGTGTCCTTTGCCATTTCCTATCACTCCTCCCTGAGAGAGACTTCACCCTGATTCATAAGGAAAAGGGAAGAGCGTATTCTCTTAGCTACTTCCTGCTGAAAAGGGATGCTGTAGGTTTCAGGGTGAAGATCTTCTCTCACTACTCTAAAGGGCCCTTTTGGCAATAGCAAATACATAGACTATTATGGAGATTGATTTTGGAATTTAGATGCACTGTTATCAATTGTGCTTAGCCGTAAAATTTTAAATGCTTATGTTTTACCTAAAATTCTCCAGTGACGCATGTATCCACACTTGGGAAAACTGACTGGGAAGGGCCGCAAGCTAAGTCCAAGAGTCTCAGAGGCCTTAGATCTCTGAGATTGGGGCAGGGCATTGGACAGCAGAGATCTGAGAAAAGTCTGCATAGATGAGGGTGCAATGATAGTGCTCCTCACCTTCATTTCTTTAACAACCTTCATGGGAAGCCTACTGCATTGAACACTTGCCAGATATCAATAAGAACACTTTCAGTATATGAGATATAGATAGATAGATAGATAGATAGATAGATAGATAGATGGATGAACCAGAACATGAAGGCCTTTGTACAGTATAGAAATAAGAGCTTGTGTTTTAATAAGTAGACCTCTGGGGCCTATCTTAAGACTATTCAATACACGCGTGTATATTTTAATTCATGAGTTCCCAGATTCTACCAGTTTAGAACTGCCAAAAAGTTGATGGTTTTAAGCCACCAGCTGCTCAACAGAAGAAAGATGGGTAATCTCCTCCCGTGTAATCTGTTGTTGTTGTTGTTGTTAGGTGTTGTCGAATCATAGACGACTCATAGAGACCCTATGAATGAAAGACCTGAACACCTGTATAACTTTCATCGCTTCTCCACATTCATAGGGTTTCTAGAGGCAAGCTATTTTGGAAGTGGATGCTATCCTGCTTCCAGTGTGATTTACTGCCTCTGAAAACCTGCTGGAGGGTCAGTTATGAGTCGGTTCCAACTCACTGGTACATAACAACAAACAACTAGATTTATGGCAACTGCGCATTTTCCCTGGTGAAATAAATAGTTTTTTGCTTGACTTCTGTATCTGTGTATTTTGAACTAAGGTGTTAGCAGAGATAGAGGATTAGATTCAAGGGATATCTCCAGATAGGTAACAAGAACTCAAATCAGCTGCTGTTCATTCTGAACCCGTGTGTGTTGGAGTAGAATTGTGTTCAATAGGGTTTTCAGTGGCTGAGTTTTGGGGAAATAGGTCCCTCTGGGTGGATTGAAACCTCCAATCTTTGGGTTGGCTGAAGCGGTTGCACCACCCAGGCAAGTCTTACATCAACCAGGTGGGAAGGGATTGGAAGAGGTCCGTTACTAAAGCTTGAAAGAGCAGGCGGGTTGAAGAAGGACTTGGTTCAGGTGTGCACTGCAGCCAAAAGTAGAAAGAAGTCTCCTAGTTACAAAAAGAAGCATCGAGCAACTCACACTTCCTTAAACGACCAAGAGGCACAGGAATGGACAAGTGCACAAGCACTTTAACTCTGTTAAGAGTTATGCAAGAGTTGGCATAGAAGGACTCAGGAGATTAAATAGGAAGGCCAACCTGGCAGTGTGTTTTAGATTGGTTTTTGGGAAAGGGAGGGAATTTAGAAGGACAACGACAGCTGGAAAACATAATCCATAATCAAAAAATCTACCCTCTTGGTCAAGCCCAGCTTTCTGATGGATCTAGCCACGTAGGTCTGGTTCACCCACAAGTACATTGAGCGCCCTTATGAAACCCACATTCACTGGAAGCTGCCTTGTCTGTGTTTTTTTTTTGCAGCTTCCTCCAAGTCAGAAAGTGCAGGGTCGGCTCCCGAGGCGATATGGGAACCGCTGACCCTGTTATCGCTCCTGGAAGAGAAGCCGACCAGAACTGTGCCAGGAGAGACTACCTTCCGCCACGGGAGTGCCCAGCAGTGGATCGTGAAAAATGCCACTGTCACTAAGTGAACGCAAACCCTCCAGGCCTCCAGGTTGCTCTCCGGAGCCCGAGGGACCTGCAGACCTCGCCATCTAGGGCGTATTAAGCAAATAAAGCCGCATTTCTGTCTCTTCCTGGCCTGGCTGTCACATCACTGTCCAGGTGGACTTGGCAAGTCCCTGGCTCTGCGGGCCCCGCCTCTTCCAGGCCCCGCCCACGTCCCGCGGGGGGCGGAGAGGGCGTGGCCGCGCCGCGCCGCCGGGGGCGGGCTTCTCTCTGAGTGACGGGCCGGCTGTCCAACCAGCGAGGACGCCCGGGGCCGGCCTTCCTGCAGCCTCTTCCGCTTGCCGGCTGCGGCGCCTGGAACGGTTGCGGTGGGTCTGGGCGCTAGGAAGTCGTCCAAGATGATTAAAAAATTCGACAAGAAGGACGAAGAGTCTGGTACGCGCTGGGCCCCCCCCTGCGCCTCCCGCACGTGCTCCGGGCGCGTGGGCGCCGCTGTGCGCGCGCCCCTCGCCCCCCCCGGGGGGC